GGCTGGTCCTGGGGGACCCCTCGGGAGGCCCGCCCGGAGAATGCGCCCCCATTTGGCCAAGAATAATGGCTGCTATTTATGTAGCTTTCGCTTCACTTCAGGATCTTGACAACCTGCTCGCAACAAGCCTTTCCGAGGTTTCACGCTACCCTCTCTATAGATAGAGAAACTGAGTCGGTTTAGAGAGATTCTGTGACTTGTTGAAAGCCATGAAGCTAGTCGAGATTTGAACCTACTACCGCCTGATCTCGTTTCTGATCTATACGCCTCCCCTGAAAGTTGGAAATACTGGGTTCCTAACCTGCCCTTGGCTTGACTGTGTCACGTTCCCAAAAACTTGAGAAATGTCCTTGGGGTCCTGATTCCAACGGTTTAGATTGCACAGGCAAAAATCTAACCTGAAGCCTTTGCAAAACGCCTGAGGCATAGGTGCTCAGGAAACGCTGGTTGAATCTGAATGTCTACTTACTTTTTCTGCTGCCTTTAACTACATTATGGGAAGATGAAGGCTAATTCACTCTTGGCTCTGTCTCTGACCTATGAGGACCTCTAAACCTAGTCTGAGGCTGAGTCAGGACTACTCAATCAGAGCCAGTACTTCTAGAAAAGGGTTACCTTCCCCTCAGGAGACGTTTCCCAACCTCTTTTCCCACCCTGCCACAGGGATTTCTCTTCTGATATCCTAGCTACAACTTCATGGAGCAGTTTGCCCTTGTGATATAGGCACCTATGAAATTAGCTCACTTGCTTGAAAAAAAAAAAAGACAGTTTTTTAAAATTAATATCTAACTTTGTTAGGAAAATTATCATCCATACCAAAAATTAAGAAATTGTATATTAAACTTTCATACATCTCCCAGCTGTGACAAAGTTTGACGATTTTCATTTTGTTACCAGATTTATGGTGCTGGAGTCTCATTCTGGAGGTGATTTCTAGGTTCTTTCCATCTCAGCTGAATGAAACAAGCAAAAACGGTGGCAAAAAGTTTCACATTTCAGGTAGGAAAAATTAAAGAGGAGAAATTAAAATTGAAGCGTAAGAAACTGGCTCTGCATAGCAAATTTGGGTAAAAATAAGATAAATAAAAGCACACCTTAGAGAATATGGGGCCAGCTAATGTTGGGTGACACATTAGCAAGCTCTTCATGGTACCTTGTCCTTTTATTCATTCCAGACATTTCGGATTCTCGGGAGAAATCCACATATAAGGTCCTAAGAATTGCTTTACACCTGTGTCCTGAGGTGTGATCATGCCTCCCTTCCCAGCCCTATCTTCCTATCTCCGTTTCACTTTTTCTATCCCCAACATACTGATGCACACTTCTGTTAAGGACAGTTTTATTCATTATTGCAGCACAGATACTAAACACGGGACCTGGCACATGGTGGTCATTTCAAAAATGTTGCCATGTGGAGTGGATGATAGATGTGCTGTTGAGTGAGGGGCTGTGTCGGTGGATCCACTGTTGCATTACTGGTGGTACTTTGGGGATAACCTATGATACTACACGCTAAAACCTCATGTCTAGTGTGGTAGACCCTAAATTAGTCTCCTGGTGCGCACAGGCAAGTTCTTCCCACTGAAACAGTTTTGAAGTAAAGTCTTACCTACCTGTAGGCGTTTTATCTTAAAATCAGAATGTGTCAGTAGTGTATGCCCTGGTGCAGTGGTGGCAAACTTATGGCACACATGGCATAGCAGGCTATTTGTTGTTACTGAAAGCTCTAAAAGGTTTGCTACCACTGCCCTAGAGTTCAGAAAAGGGAGAAAGGAACAGTTCCCTCCCTTGTCTAGAGACAATGTGATAGGAATTCTTTGGCTCATCACAAAAAATAAATGTTGAGAACCTTTATATGCTGAGAAACTTCCCCCTAAATCTTTCTTTCACCACTTGGACTAAATATAGAAAAGTGACTTCCTCACCCTGGCACTTAAGATTTTTGCAAACCACTTTCCACTACCAGTCCACTTTTTCCCCCTACCCCCTAGCTCCACGTAGCTCTCTCCTTTCCAGATGTGGAATTCCCAGGCCCTTCTCTTAGATATCTACTTGCTGATAGTCTTTAGAGTCTGGACTCCTATATGAAGCCCACTCCAAACTCCTCAGGCTCCAGGTGAGCTTTAGGTTCTTTCAGTGCCCATAGCACTTAACTTCCATTCTGTTCTTTAATTCCTCAATTTATTGACATGCATTCAAGTATGTCACAAAATATAGCTTTGTTCTCCCATTCCTTGTTTATCCTTTTGCTGTCCTTCCATTCTAGAATTATTCTTTTTTTTTTTTTTTTTTTTTTTTTTTT